TAGCTCTGCACCACCACGGGCACTTTTTCTGCCCCGAGACATCCTGTAAGAGTTGCGATGATGGATAGATTGTAGACGGGTAACAGGCATGCCTACTACTTAGTATTGATTGATTAATAAGGTTGGTCACACTGTGACCAGCACGGTCCTATGATTATGAAAGCAAAATATAGATTCTAAACCTGCGTAAACTGGCGCAAATATTGGTGGCCAAACAGACTCTTAGTGGCTAGGCAAGCAAGGTCAAATTCGGCAACACCGAACCCTAGTTGACGGTGACCTTGTGTGAACAATGTGATATAGGTCTGTGTGACAGTCATGGGTCATAGAGGATAGCCGCGTTCTAAAGGCATAAATGACTAGATAGTCTGCGCCACCACATTTTAGAGAAATATAGTCATTATCTACCAGTAGATGACCATATAGTGGTTGTTACATCACCGATGCCCCGGATAATCTCCCTATGGGCCTGACCCTGCGAGTCTGCCGCGGTCTGTTGAACCTCCAAAGCCTTTTGTTGTGATTCTTGATTCGACTCGATGAGCTCAGCAATCTGTGCTCTGGCAGCCGCACATTCGGCCTGGATCATCGCCATCATTTCTTTGTGGGCCTGATCCTGTGAGGCTGCCGCGGCTGCCATGGCTTGTAAGGCGGCCTGCTGAAACTCTAAAGCCTTTTGCTGCAATTCTTGATTTGACTTGATGAGCTCGACAATCTGTGCTATGGCAGCAGCAGTATCCTGTTGGGCTTGCTCAGCAGCTCCCTCTGCTTTCTGGCGCACTTCTATATCGGCAAGGGATGGACTGTACGCTTCTGGCCAACTCTGACTGAATAGACTTCCCATCTCTGAGTTTGCTCAAGGATGGTAATGCGTGGACCTGTCAAAGGTAGCGTCGCATGATGTTCCCATCTCTCGGACTGAAAAACTTACAGGTATGCGTATGCTTTGGAAAGAACAATCAGCTAACAGCGCTGTTCAGAGTCAGTCCTGTGGGTTTTCAGGATAAGAACGAAAACACGATCATAAATGATGAAATGTCTGCCTGGAGGCAGTTTATATTGCACTGCATACGACATGCGGCGAGGTGCTGGCTATGTGCTGTTCTATATCCATCATGGGAATGGGTGAAGGATGGAGGCAACGAGGTAGGGATCTGGAATTCCAATGATATTATGTAATGACAGACATTTTGTCTTCACCAGAACACAATTCGCCCTCATAAGCAGTAGCTATGAAAATGAGTTACCAGACCATGGATGATATATCATACACTCAACTGAGTTGAAATTAGAAGATCTCATATTGGAACCTCCTCCCCTCGAGCTCCATGATATAAAAACGAATTACAATATTTCAATTATTTGATAATATTACTAATTGTTCAGTTAAAACTTCGAAGTACGTAAACGTTCAAACTACTTTTGCCACACGCTTGCATGGATTTGAATGCATACCAAGTCACTGATCGTTCATCGTGGCAGTATGAACAATATGAACAATACCTTCCATCCGTCACGCGTTCTCCCTTCTTGCGATTGAGCGCAGAGCCCTCGCAACTTACACTCACTAGCACTATGATGCATTTGATCATCATGACATTGCCACATGGAATGGAACAAGGCGCGCAATTGTACTTCTGACGTTGCAGATAGGACCTCGTGCACACTTCCTTTACAGCCTGCCTCATCTGCTTGGCTATCGAACAATGATAAACTTCTGAAAGGTGTGCACAATAGCATTAGCGAGTAGGCTGCTGCACGAAATCGTTCACCGACATTCATCTTAATATACTGTGGATCTTCTTCAGTATACTAGTAATTATTCCAGAGGTGCGATATCCTCCTGCATTGTGCGCAGCACAGCGACACGCAGCTCACGTATGGCTCGCTCGCAGGGTGACTCGTGGCCTCTTCGTGTTCACAGGCGGTGACTATTTGAAGTGCTATAATACCTTGCCGATACAAGGAACTGGAATCTCGTCCACTCCCGTGCCGAATGTTAGGGTGCTGCCCGCCCAATTCCTCTTCACGCCATTTTTCCAGTTTATTTAAGGTATGATACAAGGTACCATCAGAACTCAGCAGCACAATTCTTTACGTTTGACTGCAGGCATCGTGTAAATGTACAGGTAACAGAAAATCAGGGAAAAACTTGGTTGTCTGCATTGGTGCGCGGTTTAAACTGTTTCAGACGACAATTATTCAACTCTGTAGATGGAACATCGAACACCAGAGACGACGTACGTTGCGCATGCCTTTGCGATGATTTATGACGGTATATCCGCACCCAGACCAGTCATGTCTTCGAACTATACGACAATATCGTCAAGGATGATAAAAAACAGATAGCATACTACGCTAGTGGTGTTGGAACGTATGTCAGGCCCGAAGGCTTTGTGCTTGTGGAGCGGATTTTGAAGAAATTGGACCTGGCCATTGCTCAGTGGGTGCACTGCATTCGACGCTTCACGGCTCGCAGTAACAGTATTGAAGTAGTATCAGGCGAAACATATTGACAGCGTATGAATGGCTCTCAGATAGATACCATGATGGTGATAAGATCTTTTTGTTTGGTATGTCTCCTGGATGTCGCATCAAGTACGCCGCTACACTAAAGATGAGGTCAGGATTTTCAAGGGGTGCATATCAAGTCCGTGCTTTGGCGGGAATGATCCACGAAGTACCTATCAGTTTTAAGCAATTATCCTTGTTGTTCATTATTGTTTTGATAGGTGGGGCTTATCACGCCTGGAAACGAAGGGCAGATACCAAGGTGAGTACATTCGGTGATCATTCTCGAACAATCGGCTGATTTCCCCAGTGCCTTCCAGTATTACTGCTCTATCAATAGCGGGAAGTCCAAGGACATTAATAGTGCGAAGGAGTTCAAAATGCGATTCTCCAGAAGCGTAGCCATACATTTCATCGGTGTATGGTGAGGGTTATACCTCAGCGCGATAGTACCAGCATTCCTGACGAACCTTCCAGGGACACCGTTGCATCTGTTGGTGTCAGCAAGACGCAAAATTTTCCATCCACTGATACATGCGATCACGTTTGCTACTTCCGCCAGGCACTCGCGCTAGATGAGCGCCGAGTGAGATTTCTACCTGAGTATGTCTACGGGGGCATGCGTTCAGACTGGCATAAATACCAAGTGTCGGCGCCACCTCCCACAGACGAAGGTCGTATCAAGGAGGTTTGGTTTGCGGGTAGTCATTCTGATGTGTACGTGTCCCCTGCATCGGATGGCACTCATTTAATAATTTGTTTTTAGCGGTGGTGCACGTTGGAAGAAGAAGAGTTACCCCAATGATTTCCGGAACATCCCTCTACTGTGGATGTGCGAAGAAGCTCGCGAGGCGGGGCTTCTGCTCAATCCCCGCGAGGTAGCTTCCAGATATGAAGATGAATCATTTCTGAAACCTGAAGTTACCGATCCTTCAAATCTTGCGTGGTGGCTGCTTGAGATATTGCCTATTGGACATCTTTGCTTCCACTCCAACACACTTAAAACGCTGTAAGTGGTAAGTTTCATCGAATTGATTATCCACTGAGTACTTGCAGACCGCACCTTGGACGAGGGCGTATCATCATGCCCGGACAAAAGATCCACGAGTCAGTTCTTTTTCGTCCCAACTACCGACCTAAAGCGCATTTTTGGATGAATGTCCAGCAATGGCCTGAAGCGGTGCAGTGGTATACAGCATCCGCCGAGGAGCGTTTATCACAACTTGATTTTGCCTTGGAATTGCTTTCTTTCAAAGGATCGACTTCTGAAGCTCTCGTCTGTTGTGTTTTTGACAAACATATGCTTGATAATATGTATTCATTCGGTGAGACCCCAGAAGACTGTGACCTGCTGATCTGATAATGGTAGATCCCAGAGCTCGCAATCAAATTAGGCAAGGCGAATGCGCCAGAGACCATACTCAATATCGAGGACAAACTTATCGCAGGTACTAAACGTGCAAAAGACAGTGGGGAGGGATGGTCTCTAGTAGATTCTGAGAAGAACGGAGATGCTGATAAGGCCAAAGAGGAACGCAATATCCGTCTCGTGCGCCTCGATGCATTCATCACGTACTGCGAACGCGGTATGTCGAGTCTTTTGATCCGAGTCACTGTCTTCAAATTCTCAAAAATGCGCAGTCAAGAGCAAAGACATAATTATCAAATGCATCCTAGACGACCTGTTCCAATTTTGTTTCTTTTGGATTTCAACTTGTGTCCTATGGAGAGTATCACTCTACGCGGGACTAAACACAATCTAGTCGACCCCGTAGGAGTGTTCCTCAAGTTGCTGGGCACATCCAACGACATAGAACATCCATCCCCGATTCGTTTACAAAATATACAGTATGGCTACAACCTTTTTATCGCATATACGAACACAAATATGAGCGCTGAGCTTCGCTACACTAGAAATCGATTACCTCTCATCCAAAATACTACTCCTCAAACCACAAGCTAGAAATTCATGATGTCCATCCCATCGTTGACTCGTTTACACTGTCCGACCGCTACAATTATCGTCTGGTACAAAGAAATGTACATTCCTATCGATGAAAATGCAATTTCAGGCCTTTCGTGTGGCACGTAGCACTAACGTAGAACGACGCCTTGACGGCAACCATGCGAAGATGCAAACGCGACCTTCATCGAGTACTGAAGCACTTGTGATGTCGCCACGCCGCTGCACGCCGACATGCCGTACATCTTACTTTCATCAAGACCACGATTGAAGAGGAGGAGACGAGTACATCGCTTGGGAGTCGGAGTCAGCGGAGAAGGTCGGTTAATTGGTTACGAGCAGTATTGTGAACAGATCATGGATATGTCAAAAATGAAGATACGAACAACACCAGCGCGGAGAAAGAAATACATCACTGACTGCGAGTCGGCAGCCAAGATCGGTCACAAGCGATAAGACATGACGAGAACAGAGAAATGTCAACAAGAGCCCGAAAGACATATAGGAGGAACTTTATCATCACCGACTACTTCTCCTTCACAGCAGTCGCTGCTTCAGCATCACGGCGTGCTCGCCTGGTCTGAGCTTCTCCGATTAAGTCGTTCAACAACTCAATTTCGTCGATGACCTTCTTCGGCCGCTTTTCCTTCATGACGCCGAGCATAGGTTCGTTCGAAACGATGTAGACCCTCTGGTCAGGCATGTTGGCATTCTCCAGGTTCTCTCTCACGCTCTGGCGCGTCTGCTGAATGAACTGCTGTCGTGCAGCCTGGTAAAGCTTCTTCTTCTGGTCCTCGCTCTCATCGTCATCGCTGTCGTACCCCATGTCCTTCATGATGTTACGAATGTGCTGGTCTGCTTTAGAACGCACGATATACGTGGGGATCTTGAAACGCTTGCAGTTGGTGAGGATGGCAATGTCGGTCATGGTGAACCGATTGTCGAACAGCACGATGATGCAGTCAAAGACGTAAAGTCCTTGGGCGTTGAAGTACTGCCAGTCTGGGATTTTGAGCGTGCCTGCGCCTGGGATATCGTACCAGACATATGGGTATTCCGCGTTGGGGCTGGCGTATCTGGCCATGGCTAGCGTTGTCTCGGTGACACCAGTGGCAGCAGATCCGGCGTCCTTATTACGCAAACCGCGGAAGGCATTGATAAGAGATGATTTCCCTCCTCCTGCCACCCCGGCTACTGCGAAGTGGAAAAGATCTTCGCGATATTGAACTTTCCGCTTGGCGGCGCTAACTTCTGCAGGCGTGGGAGTCACCACAGGTTGAATGCCTTCTTTCAACTTGCGTTCAGCCTCCTCCTTGGCAGAATTGGCTACCTTCACTTGCTCTTCTGCCACTTTCTTCGACTTGTTGGCCGCCTCCTGTGCGGCAGTCGCCTTCTTCTTCTCCTCATTAGCAGCCTCCTGTAGTTTCTTGGCCTGCTCCTGGGCAGCCTGAGCGTCTCGTTTGGCTTGTTCTTGTACAGCGGCAGTTCGCTTACGCTCCTGCTCTGCTTCCGCTGCTCTCTGCTTTGCTTCTTCGCTGGCGGTACGAGCAGCGGCTTCCGCAAGTAAACGAGCTTCGTTGGAGGCACGTTCGGCCTGGACCATGGCCATCATCTCCTTATGGGTCTGAGCCTGTGAGTCTGCCGCGGCTCGCAAGGAGGCCTGCTGAGCCTCCATAAACTTTTGCTGCGAATCTTGATTCGACTTGATGAGCTCAGCGATCTGTGCTCTGGCAGCCGCAGCATCCTCTCGGGCTTGAGCAGCAGCTTCCTCTGCTCTCTGGCGCGCTTCTATATCGACGAGGGACGGACTGGGCGCTTCTGGTGCATCCCGACTGAATAGACCTCCCATCTCTGAGTGTGCTCAAGAATGATAATATGTGGACCTGTCAATAGTCACATCGTATGATGCTCCCATCTCTTGGACTGAGAAAACTTACTGGTATACGTATGCTTTGGAAAGAACTAACAGCGCAGCGCTGTTCAGAGTCAGTCCTGTGGATAAGAACGAAGAACCGATCTTGAACTATAACATATAATGTCTACCTTGAGGCGTTTTATATTGTCTATTCGTACCGCGTGCAGACCAAGAAACCGACTGAATGCGGCCAAGCGCTGATCATAAGTCACGCAGGGCTGTGGGCTATTCCACATCCATAGGATTGCGCCGTGAAGTGTGACTTGGAGGTGACGAAATCATGGATCAAGGGAGAACGTTCTGTGCATGTCCTTCCATTTTCTGTGCTCGAATGAATCTTCGTAGACCGCATGTTTGATCTTCATGGAACTAGCATCAGAACTGCAGTCGTGGTTATGGTTAAAGTTGGGAATGGCTTACCAAATCGTTGTGCAATGTACTCACTAATTGAGTTCATCGATAACCGTGACCTAGAGCCTGGCGCTGTCAGGCAAGTCAAATTGAGCAAGAATTCGAACGACTCACTGCCCTTGATCATCGCCACCGCCTGGAAAACCCATACTGCATCCACAAGCTGTGCGCGCATGCTGGAAGGTCCTGTGACACTGCCATCGGTCAAGCTCTGAGCCAAAGGATGCAGTCCTAGTTGGAACTGATCAAATATGATAATTGCGGTCCAAGAATACAGCTGGACCGCTTTAAACAAGATACTGTACGTAGGTGTAGCATAATACAAAAATAACAAATTACAACGCATTCCAGTCCTGCAACAAATACATCAATAATACATAGCCTGAATCCCGACGTTCTTGTCTGTTTCCAAATCAGACACTTGAAATAATCATTCCTCCACACCGCCCATGTACATGAACTCCTTGAACCTTAATCGAAGTTCCTTGTTCTTCGCAAGCCTCGTGGCAAGATCCAACCACGATGGGATGGTCAAGTCATTCAACTCGTAAGGCGTGTACTCTGACTCCACAGCACCAGGCTCGCGAAGTTCTTCTGGGAGAAGTTGAAGAGGAATAATATATTGGTGATCCGTGATATTCTGTGTTTGCTCATCGGGGTGCAAGCTTGAAAGAGGGAAGGTCATGTACTCGAGTTCGAACTCTGGATCATGGGTCTGATCGAACTCTTCCAGTCTTGGCATGTAAAACTGTAAATAACATGTGTTATTTTAGGGAGCTACTCGTGGGGTATGTGCGCACCTGTGCGAACCCTAGGGGCGACCACAGCGAGTTGCGCCTTGATGGCGATTCGCTATCGGAGTGCCAGAGTTTGTGAGGTTGGCACCTCCACGCGTTACGGAACTTCTTGTGTTCACACTTCGGCTTCTTGAATGTGCGAACTTGCTCATGGTTCAAGGCACGTCGCCGCTGAGTGGCCTTTATCGTTTGAAGATATGGATCAGAGCCGATATCCTTCGTGAGTGTCGATAGTCCAGTGACATTATACGTAAAAATTCGGAAGGATGGAATGTAGGGATTTGGTACAATGGCAGCGTTGACGTTCACCACTGCATAGTCGTCGTAGCGAGTATCTTCGAGGGGTGCTGGTATCTCCGAAAAATCAGCGATGAGCGTCTCAAAGAGTGTACCACGTGACGAGGTCTTCGAAGACATGTTGATCTCATCAGCGTCCAAGAAAGAGAACTACGCTGAGTTAGTAAACTGAGTGTAGCTTTGAAGCAACCGCGCGTACGTGATCAACGTTTAGGTGCTGAAACATCAAAATTAACTTTGACTACCTGGAACGAACGTTGAATCTTACCCCATACAAATTACCCAAAATCGTGTCTTGGAATCGCAGGTTCAACTCTACGAATCGGGGGTACTGACGAGGTTGAGATGATTAATGCCATATCTACGTAGAGTACTCACACATTCAGAAAAGTAGTTCGCTTCAGATGGAGGTACATGTCCTGCATTGACGAATATGAAAATTTGTCAGGGTTCAAAGAAACGGTCTATGGCGTACCTGTAATCCACACCTACCCGACGACATGAAAAAGTATTTTTGGAAGATATTTGAGAGCTCTTACCTGCATCTGTCGAGAACGGAATGCCTCCAGTTGTTCTTCAAGCCAATCAAGCTGGATAGTTCCAGGGTCCTTTGGGTCGGTATAATCACATCCACCGACAGCTAATTGTTGTACATCAACGAGTAAGCCAACCAGAGAATTATGCGTCACTTGCCGTGATTTTTCTTATAAAAGTACAATGTATTGAGGCTGATAGCAGCCACCGCATCAGGTATGATCTCCGTTGAGAAGTATGCTCCTTGATGAAATGATGCTGATGACGTCGGGGGTATAAATGCACTCCATATCCTGATTGTTTTTTGAGACCTCGGACGTGGCTAAATCTGCGATAGACGTACGAAGAGAACTCCTCTATAATTTTATTAGGTCCTGTTTGCTACGGATTAGCGCTGGACAGAAGGATAGCAACAATCATACCAGCAGATAATCTATTCTGATAGCAAGGTAAATGGGATCAGTAGAAGAGCCCGTGATACTATGTTCTCACATGAGCTATATCAGTCGACAGTCAATATACTCGTGTGCTTAAGAATGTTAGAAGCGCTTACGCCATATGTCATTGTTTCCTAATAGAGGGAGGATGTACTGTTCAGGAAGTCTCTGCGAAGAGGCGCAACAGACCTACCCAAACTTGGCACGACTGGGATGCCTTTCTTCAAAAATACATGTTCCATCCTTTTAGCCACAGCACGATTCAAGTCATAAATTTCGTCAAGGGTTCGTGGTAAATCGTCATCGTTGTCGTGTCTAGATGCTCTTGATTAGATTGCATCTCAAGAGGTCCAACACCAATTTCAAACCTTGCATTGTCGCCAGTCCCTATATGCGGCAAATGAGTGAGATCAAATAACACAGATGGACTAGGTTAGACGCTCACAAATTACAAAATCGATTTCAGAGCTCCAATGTTCATCCAAAAAGTCAAACGTGAAGTTTGTGAGGCTGAATGGTGAGTCACAGAAGCTAGACAGATACGAACGTCAGCCAACGGATCAAAAACAAGGATGATCAACATACCTATAAGGTGTTCCGTAGTAACCTGCCGGACGCTCGTCCTTGAAATTGGGTCGATGGCATGCAGAGGATTGGGATGCACCGAGTTCATAAAACGGATCAGGGTGGATATCTGTGATGTGCAGAAAACGGCCGTGAAGCTGCCTACTAGGGAAAGGTTCTTTCAATCGTTTGAGCGACCAGCGGTGTGATTGAAATGACCACAAAACACATACGAAGTTCAACCTGTGATGTGCCCAGTACAACCTGAGTAGGGGACGCGAGGCTTGCAACGCAGCATGATCCCAAGGTAAAAATCAGACTTCGTGTCCTCATGAGTTCTCGGAGAGGTGGTTAGATGCTGGGGTATCGGGTTGTAAGCTCGCATTATTAATAGGGAGCACTGTGCACAGCTGCAGTCGGCTTGGTGGCAACTGTCAGCATCCTAGAATGGGTCAATGAGATTCAATGGTAAGCACGTTTGTCACTCTGGCCTATTACAATACAGTGTGAGTTCTTCGGACTGTCCTTCGTGAACGGAAGTGCACGTTTTTGGGTGAACTCCATGGACTACGGCATAAAAAAGTTACATTTCTGCGGGACCCGTGCGTGTACCAGTAGGGGTGCAGTGAGATGAAACGTTGATAGTAGCATCATCGTGTGTAATCGAACAGAAGATTTATAAATTTGTACATGTTGACATCATCCATATCGATACTGATCCACTCTTGATCCACTCGAGTCGTCGTCGATAACAATCGTAGCATCTAATAACAGTAAGGTCGATTTCAACCCTGCATGCATGTGCATCCCGAAAGCGACTAGCCTTAGGAGAAATCTCTCGTGTCTCGCACGTTCACCAACACCGTCCACCGGTTGACATCCGGCGCCGGCCCACGTCGGCCTCTCGGAGATTCAGAGCACGGCGTCTCATTTTTTTTGTTGCGCTATATAAATATAGAAATTTTTTCTTTCTCTCTCTCTCCCGTATATTCCGGATCACACAGGTCTGTGCCAAGACCACTTATATGATTGCATTTTCTAAACCATGGCGTTCGACTCTCAGGACCAAGACTTCGCTCCTTCGACATGACCAAACATGGATGGAACACCTTGCATTATGGAGTCAACGATGGCAACTTCTTGATGTCGCTATTCAAATTGTGTTTGACTGGTGCGCCGAGACATTGTCATCGTTGGATTATTTTTGTTCATCGTGTTTTTCTTTCGGCGTCCTGCATTAATTGAATTTTACGAGCTATCGAAACTGCAATCATGGCGAGGCCCCGAGGGTTCGTTCATGCAAAGTCAGCAGATTAGTCGCCGTCACATAAGAACCAGCTCCTAATGCTCAACGGCGCGCGCTACGAGCTCGTGATGTCGGATCAGTACATGGATTGAGTTGCACTATGCAAGGCACACGGGCCTCGAGGACCTGATGATGTCAACATTTTCCTGAGGAGGTTTTCATCTGTCCGTACAACTGCAGCAAAATAATATTCATGGAATGAAATTGGTGCAACCTGTATATCGTGAGTTAGACAAAACACGCCTCGGAGCATTTGATACTGACTGTGCGAGGCGGTAAAGATAGATGAACAGCGTTTATGAGACCTGTATATGCGGTATGTGTTTCTAAATGTGTTTACAATGGCCTGGCTGATCAATGTAATACGGAAGCCGCAAGGGTGGTGAGGCTATACCTCATTATTACCATTGCGTGTCAACTGTTGGAATCTATCAGGCCTATGACTGGATGCTCGAGGGCAGTGGAAGACGACTGATCCTAGTCTTTCGAAATTCAAGTGGTAAGCTGAGGTTGTGCTGTGGGCAGAACTTGCACAGCAGCCAGCTAAGGTTTTGCCATGGCAGGTAGATCTTAGAATGAGTAAGTTGCTGTGACAATGTGATGGTCATCTAGTATCTGAACGATGCTACACGATAATCCTACTAGATCCTCTGAAGCTCATCATTTGATCCTCGTATCTACTCCTCACTCAAAGTCTTTGGGGTCTGTTTGCATCTTTGGTTACTAACGAAATGGAATTTGAGACACGCTGTTTATGATGAATAGACTCGCACCACATAAGTAATACTGGTAGCGGGCTCCCGAACAGAGAGTCTAGGGCGCCGCGGGCCTGCTCGGAGGATCCACAATAAATGAGAACTGAGCGCTGAACTCCTCGCAAGTACATGTCAAAACAAACCCGAGGATCCGAAAAGGGTACACTGGAAAAACGATTTTTCATGTCGCGATCACACAGAACCGAGTCATAGACTCATAGCCGGTCCGAATTGTTCATGTTTGTTTTTGATTTGTCAGCTCTTTCGTCTCCGAATGTCTGAATCACATAATCAATGCATGTACATTGTACATCACCATTGCATTCAAAGTTTAATTTGTCATGGCTGCAGCCTCGTTGTCTTCGCCCCGCCCTCGTGTTTTGTCGGATCAGGGAGCTCCCTGATGACGGAACGTTCGTCGTGTTTTATGCAAGTTCTTTGAGGTATTTCGAGTTTGATGACCAGTGTCCGGTTGGTCGTTTGTTGCCCGTCACTGCTCCTACCGTTTTACAGCACGTGGAGGAATTTCCTTCCGACAATTATGTTACTACTTCTGCCCCATGGTTCCACAGATTGCCAACTGCCATGTTTTTGCCACGGATGGCAACATGTACACGAGCCACACGTGCACTAACAAGCGCACATTCGAGTATTTAAAACTCAATCCACGTTAACTTGCTGTATGCTCGAATCTGAGATGGCGGCAAAGCTCCGATCATCCTTTTACTAGGAAGCGCGCAGCCCTCAGGCCTCACCCCTAGTAGAAACCGCTTAGTACAGCCAGGTGCGATGTATAGTAGACTTGTAATGGTAAGATCGGGTAGAAAATGAAAAGGATGTTGTTCATGCATTGCCTTTAAACGTCAAATTGAATGTGTTGTCGTGTCTTGCCATCATTACCCTAGATAGAGAATGCACCTCAGTGGCACCTTGCCACTTAGTACAGCCTCTCTACCAGCTGTACTAGGCCCCAGGGTATATATGTTCGTCTTCGACGTTGATCTTACAGTATTCCGACGTATTTGACAAGTCTAGTACAGCCTAGACAAGGCTACGTTTAGGAGCACTTCAAGTTCCTTCTAGAACTCCCAGGTTCAAGCGCCCATCACTCACAAGGCTCTTCTCAACATTCAACCTGTATCACCTGTGCGTGTTCATATAACTACTCGTTTGCGACCGCTCAGCAAACCAGAACATCCTCATACTGACATGTACATATTCAGAAACCTCATCCAGCCAACAATGTCTAGTATACCTCTTTCAGGTTCCAAGTTCACTCTCGATGCCTCTGGAGTAGCAGGTTTTTTCGGTGGTGATGAAGCTGTTGCCGCGATGACGATCGTACACGTGTATCAAGGGAGAAAATGGTTGGGATGGTACAATTCACCAGGATCATACCTTATCGCCAAGAAATGCAGCCAACTCGCCAACTCGCGTTTCTGGGATGGTTCATTCCCGGGTGTCAACACAAACGCTGCTACGCTGGGCGGGTTGGATGGTTCAAAGGGCCCAAAGTTCAAGGGTGTAGAGTCTGGGTCGATTCTCCCCGAAACTGGTCCCCTCGCTTCTTTGATGGCAAAAGAATGCCAGATGGAGCGGGGCATTGATGTGCCAGGGAGAAAAACCCAACCAGTTGGGGTGACAATCGTTGACCTCCACTACACCCCTGAAGCGACCACGACACCAAAGCAACTCACGAAATATACCAGCGTTTTCGCTTTCATCCCTATGTCAGTATCCATCGGCACTTGCATTGCATCCGCTCTCTTCGAAGACTGGTACTCCTTCAGTATGATCCTGCTCGGAATCGTCGCAAACGGATTATCGTGTCTTGTCCTCGGATCCGGAAATTTCACTTTCTCTCATCCCATCCCAGCCCCGGGAGCGCCGCGAGGTGATGGATTACTCCTCGCGGATAACAATACCATCGTCCTAACTGGCCAAGAGGGCGCTGTCAATTCTATTACCCGTGGGAAATTCTCTCTAAACTTCGACAGTGAGACAGAATACAGAAACATCGGCATATGCTCGTCGATCCTTACGGCGCAGTGCATCGCACAGCTGCTGCTCATACCTCAGGCCACGCTCTTCGGACAGATCATGTTCTTAGCCTCGCTTGCAGTCTCCTTTGCATACACCTCATGGTTGTCGTCGTTCGATAAATCAGAGATCCAGAGGAGGCTGCTAGTGGATGTAGTCCTCAAGCGGCCGCTGATGACGAAATACATGTTGGGCACGCGTACTACCATGGCGGTCTTCGTTCTACTGGCGTTGAATCCATCAGATCCAGCCAAGGTACTTGATGATCTCCTCCCAAACGACACCAAAGTGTGGAGGAGTTGGAAATCAATCATTCTGTCAAGGTTACAGGACGGCGAAAAGATGCATTTTGAACCCGGCGATTGGGACGATGGAAGTTTCAACGGGGGTGAGAGTTCACTTCTGAAGACTCTCTTAGGGGACGCCCAGGCTGCCTATGATGGGTATTGCGACCACCAGAAGCTGCATTAGTTGCGCGATGAATTGGCGCCCGCCATATTCGGCTGCTTTGTTTGTGATACTAATTGTGAAAATTTATTATGTTCTAGTCTTCAATTATTGCTTACCCATATCTTGTATCCTCACCTCTGTTCTGGGTCTCTTGCCTTTCTTTTCAGCCTGATATTTCGAGTGTTTCGACTAGTATTTTTTTGACCATGTATACGGTATACCGTGATACCCTTGTATGAATCTCCTTGTGGAGATGATTTCTTGCCACTGTTCCGGTATCTTATGAGTAATGTTATAAATCTTGGCCGGCAGCTCCGTAGGTCGGAAATGTTAAACTGCCTGACTCGGTATTACATTCGGACATCCTTGTGGCCGTCCTTCCTTGTGCAAATGAGGCGAGGCCACTGCGCGTATGGGAGCCTTCATAATGATTCGATTAACTTTGGACTCTATCTCTACCACAATTTCACGGCCTGTAATTGTGGAATCACAACCAGCTCCACCTGGGTGCATGATATCACTGTCACTACAGTACAAACCTCAAACGTATTTCACAGCGAATGAACTTGGGAAGACGTACGTCTGAGGGATTGCGAGGCTCGAACAGACGGTTCGCGTTCGTGCAGGAAGAGAAGCAAGGGAGTCTGTGGAGATGAAAAGGGGCGTTTTGCGGATATGTAGGTGGATGTCTTGGTGGATTAGGGGCAAAAGATGATGTATTAATGGTTTACTGCGCCTAGTAACAAGATACCTGTCGAGCGTCCCATCCCACACCTCGAGGTACCTCTCCTTCCGGCGAGCTTCTTCGAACTGCATGAATAAGATTAGCACTTCTAAATGGACCAGCCATGGGTTTGCTATCGTCCAAACTCTATGACTCGCTCACTATGGTAGCTTGTTGCCAGTGAAGATATTGATGTAGGCAGTGATCGTTTCGAAGTAGTCTTGATCTTTTTCCACAGTACTGTTCTTCTCAACTTCTTTGAGCTCGCCGAAATCGAGATCCTCTCCAGTACTGCTAGTGATGAATCGATGACCCATCGATCGTCTCTCGATACTGCCACGTGCACTGCATGTACTTCTTGCTTGGCACTTCCTCGGTCTCCTTTCTCGCTTCTATGCAGAGTACTTTTTTCGCATCGGATTTGCTGATGATATGCTGGCCGCCATCTGGAAAGTGAAATATGGATGTGACGTATTTGGGACTCTCTGACATATTACTGATGTTAGAGTCATCTCGGCTACCAAATTGGCGGGCTGCATCGACATGGTCGTCACGTCTTCGGGAAACTGGCAGGAAGTCAAGACGTATTCGAGGCGGCAGTGAGTCCAAGGATGGTCAAGGCCTAACGTCGATAGTGATTCGAACATCTGCTAATCGTCAGTTCATCGATAGGTCGCCGCCACTGGAGGAAAGCTCCGAACGCGTAGCTATTTTGACGCGGTCCTGCTCACCTGACAGTTGTGTACATTGCACCCTTGCTTCTATTATTGTGTCTTCTCGCTGCTTGGTTCACAGTCGTGGAAGTAGATGATAACATGTGTACATCCGGATCAGGAAGTTCGGCCCGAACTGCTACTAGTATGGGTATGGTCGAGGCTGGTAACCTTGTTCGTTGCAACCTCCACTTTGCTTTCGACACCAGCAGAGACGAGGCGACACATGCAGACCATTGCACATCACTGACGAATAATTTTGAGCAGATCATTTAGCAGCAAGTAAATGTCCCGATGCCATCGTCTGAACCATCCACCGATGTCGTTGTCGAGCGCACACTTATCCAATCTTCTGCTATTAGTACTTTCCCAACAATTTCACGTACACTTGCAGATGTGCGTGAAGAGGTTGCCCAGAGCCTCGCACTCCGTATGATCACAAAAGCACGCACCGTCGATGGTGTCCGCATAGGTGTCCACTTCACCTTCTCGAAGAAAGACGATGGTCGCTTTCTTCGGCTTATCACTTCCCATATCCGTGCACGACTACCTTCCTCCCGATATCTCTTCGCTATAGCCACAACTGGTTCATCCCCGACAAGTCGTGATACCCGGGACCGCGCACGCACTTCAAATGCGCTCGTTATCTGTGGGTCAGATGAAGATGATGTTCAGCGTGCTGTACTCCTCGCATCCTCTAAATTTTTGGGACGTGTCGATGCAGTTCAAAACACGGGTACTCTCCTTGCTGCCTCTGTAAGGCATATTGGCTCATCTTATGATGACGCTGCCTTATGGGACGTGTTGTCCAAGTCTGTGCGCACTCCCATCGATCCTCTTCTCCCTCCACCCGGATCTCGCAGCATTGATCAACTTCTATCTGATGCTCGATCAAAGCTCGAGAGAATGACGCCACGACAAGCCTATGAAGCCCTTCACGACCCCACATACCCAATGCCGGTCTTTCTGGTAGATATTCGCCCAGCTTCCCAACGTGCTCGTGAAGGCGGGATTCACGGATCCCTCATCATCGAGCGAAACGTTCTGGAATGGCGTTTTGACCCACGTTGCGAAGCACGACTTGCAATCGCAGATCGTTATGATTTAAAGATAATCATATATTGTCAGGAGGGGTACACCAGCTCTTTGGCTGCGGCATCCCTCCACGAACTTGGGTTGCTCAATGCGACTGATATAGTGGGCGGTTTTGCCGCATGGCGTGCGGCTGGCCTACCAGGTCAAATAAAGCCCCCGTCCACTATCAGCGACGAAGAAAGCTATCAAATCAGCCAGCCTTCGTTTGATTCTGACGATGTGATTGACGGTATTTGACTAGTTTTGATGTCAATCGCGTATTTTAGTATACCCAGATTTATGAGCCGTTATAATTATTATGCACAAGTGCTATGGAAATCGATCACAACCAAAAATACATGAGAAAACGTTTGTCGGCGTGACGGACAGAGGATGTCATATTTGTCTAGCTGGCCCAAGAGCTTGCCTGTGATTTTGTATATTGTTATGAATCATAGTACGGATCATCAGCACTTGACGTTACTAAGTGTCATGAACGTTGATGATTACATACGTACACCTCCTCCTTTTGTTCAACGGAACTTCAATCTACAAGCGTGTTACATCGCGCAAACCATGAGCCACATACAATTAGCTTTCATATAGTCCATTCTACGATCTCCCCAATATCCTAATAATCCACGCCGCGTGGACCCCAACAACGAACTCGAACTACCTGTAACCTGACACGACATCGCGAACGCGATGAACTACATTCGTGGCGCTGTGAGCGCAATCAGTGCCCCATACCAGTACTACAAAGATATCAACCCATCGACCTTGACTGGAGCCATCGATGTCATCGTGATTCGGCGCCCACCATCGCCCACTTTATCTGCTAGCTCCGGTTCACAAGGCGGCGATATTTACGCCTGCTCTCCATTCCATGTCCGTTTCGGTAAGCTTCAGGTACTCAGACCTGCTGAAAAGAAGGTGTGTATTGTCTGCTCTTTTCGTAAAGGTATTCAATGGATCATGAATGGCTGGGAATAGGTCAACGTATCAATAAATGGCTTGCCCATCCCGTTCAATATGAAAATAGGAGACGCAGGAGAAGCATTTTTCGTGTTCGAGACAGAAGAAGACATCCCAGAAGACCTTGTTACAAGTCCTCTACTCTCCCCAACTCCAGAACCAGGCGAACTTCAGGGTGACTTTGAACATGAAACATCTGGAGTGAAACTGGGTGGGGAAGAGAAGTCAGATCTGAGTTTACAGATGCAGGAACCTGAGTTTCTCGATTTGAACGCTTCGTCTGTGTTGAAACATCCAATTCCAATCCATGCAGGCGCGCAACCGAAGCTTGGCTCGATGAGCGTTCCGCATACCCCTCCACCAGAGGATCCTGTAGCACAACCAATCGACGTGACCGGTCCAGAAGTTCAATACACGGCTGGTGCGTGCGTCCTACACACAATATCTGACATGATTCTCAAGGCGTTGCAGATGTCGCGCTTGATATGGATGGATATCATTCTGCTCAAGCACGCGACGCGTCTTCCTCACGTGTATCCCGTGAGTTTTCTGTAACTTGTTATACGCTAAACTAATGAGCTACAGATCCACCATCACCAACCCCAATCGCGATCTCCTTCCCATCCACCATTCCTCTAGTCGCTTCCCCTCTGAGCAAACACTCTCCATCACTTCCCGCAACTACGTTTCCTGCCTGCCGCGCTGTTTCAGAATCCCAAGATGATATCCCGCTTCCTCAGTATTCCTGGGAATGGGGCGCGTTCCCCCAGCCCTCACCTATGACGACACATTTCCCGTCTACCCATTTATTGCGCATGGGTAAAGCACCCACTATGGATGAACACGCGTCAGCCGATTTTGATGCTGAAGAGTTTTTGACGCGTAGTAGGAGTGTCCCGCCTGAGCTCGAAGGCAGTCCACATACCATCCGGTCGTCTCTACCACCTCAAGACGAAGTACATACTCCTGAAGATGTGCAGGAACACGAAATCAGATGTGATCATCCTTCACTCCCACTCCCTGAGTACGGATTTGGTTCAGGTGGTGTTCTTACCACACACCCATCTGATTCACGTACGTTCCTTGTTCACATCGAGGGCCAGGCGCTGTCATTTGCTCTCTCCCTTGTACCTACGACAAAACGCGGGATCTTCCATGGGAGCGATGAGGTAGAAGCCGTGCGTCTATTCGAGGCGGGGAGAATCGACTATGTGCAGCTTGTCTCTGAGGAGGTGGTGATCGGAGAGGATGAGGTGAGGACGAGAGTGGTAGAGGATGAGGGGTTGGTGATTAGATGGGCGGGCGGGCAGTATATCACGAGGGAAGATGGGAGTCCGTTGATGGATGCTTTGAGGTTGTGGGTTGAGAATGCGCCGAAGGAACTATCGAGGGCGATGTCCGAGCCCCCGCCGGCCATTACAGAAGCACGAGACCAGGGTGTAGAACAGAGGGAGGAAGAAATGGCGAGCAGTGCCGATGAACAGGAACCGGTATCGAGTGGGGACGAGCGAGAGATGAAGCGTGCGGATTCTGAACCGCCAGAGGCGCACCGGAAACCGACGTCGAGCAGTTGGGTTAGATGGTGGATTCGAAGCCGGGATATAACAGAGGCTGATCGGCCTCCTTTAAGGGTGTCGAATACCTCTCCAATGGAAGCTGTGAGTTTCGTGAGGCTCAGAAGGATAACGGCTCATGATGTTTTTTTCAGCCACTGCCGAAACATGCTCCTCTTGTGGCTCGTCATATGTCGTTTCCTCAATCCGTATCTGCCCCTCCTGCTACACCCGCTCCAGGCATCGTCGAGCCCTTGAGTCAGGTGTTTGAGGCAAAGATTACGAGGACACAGAAGAGGTACGCCAAGACGCTGCGGTTGACCTCTGATCAACTGGTGGGTCTTTAACATTACGTGCAACTTTTAAATATATGATGTTTTCTCCAGAAATCCCTCGACCTTAAGCCTGGTGCCAATACCATCACGTTTTCCCTCTCTAATTCTACTGTGCCCGCATGTACGGCGCGGATATTTGTATGGGACTCGACTGATCTTGTCGTCGTGTCTGACATAGATGGTACAATCACCAAGTAGGTTTCTCTCATTTGTTTGTGTCTTCGTCCAACCTGGCCTTTCCGCAGGTCTGATGGGCTAGGTCATGTATTCGCTATGATTGGCCGCGACTGGACTCATTCCGGTGTTGCAAAGTTATACACCGATATCAGGCGCAACGGGTATAAGATCATGTACCTTACCTCACGAGCTATCGGACAGGCAGATTCTACGCGCGATTACCTGAAGGGTATCAAGCAGGACGACTATCAACTTCCTGAAGGCCCCGTCATCATGAGCCCCGACCGACTGATGGCGTCGCTGCATCGGTAAGATGATTGAATCATCCGAGGAGGGAAGATGCTGATGTGCACTAGCGAGGTGATCATGCGGAAGCCCGAAGTATTCAAAATGGCATGCTTGAGGGATATTCAGCGTCTTTTCGGTGAGAGCTCGCGCACGCCGTTCTATGCCGGGTTTGGAAACCGGATAACGGATGCGCTGTCATATCGCAGCGTGAATGTTCCGAGTGCAAGGATATTTACTATAGATTCCTCTGGTGAGGTCAAGATGGAGCTTCTCGAGCTCGCAGGGTACAAGTCATCGTCCGTAATTTGTTGTGCTCATGTATTCGGCGCACTCATTTATCTATTATTAGGTATATACATATGACTGACATTGTGGATCAGATGTTCCCTCCGATAAATCGGAAATGGGCAGTGGAGTTCACGGATTTTAATTATTGGAAAATGCCAGTCCAGGAATTCGCCCTTCCTGACCTCACACCTCCCTCCCCCGCCCTGAGCGCGCGATCAGATACGTCTAACCAGAGTACACTTGCGCGGTTACGCAACTTCAGTCTCGTAGGGCGGAGACAATCGCGGGACATGACGCAGTTTTCACTTCCACCACCTGTGATGGCGCGCGAGGGCACGCCGAGTCGAACGATGGGTCTGCGCAGTACACATTTGCGGCAGATGTCCTCTCTCGAACGTCTCAGCGGTAGACTGGCAGCGCTCACTCAGTCGTCTTCATCTAGCGGCATCGACTCGCGCTCGTCATCGTCTACGTTCCTGGATTCTGATGAGGAGGATGCAGATGTGGAAGATGGGAGTGTACGGAAACGGCGTCCGAGGAGCACGAGTATGACCAGTATGCCTGGGTCGTTGGATGATGGACAGTTTGGGGAGGATGATAGGGATGAAGAGGAGGAGGGGTATGGATATGAGGGGGAAGTGGAGGGTGGAGAGAATGAGGAGGAGGCTGCTGAGGAGGCGTTTGATGAGGATTTTCTTGCTACGGGGGAGATGAAGAATGTGCCATTTTTGTAATGCAGGCGATTGGACCTTGGTAGTGTAATTTGATAAGGCATTGATAGCTGATTTGGATAGAATCAAGGACGGCAGATTAAGCATGTATATTGATAGTACATTCGATAGATACGAAGACTCCCGTGTCGATTAGAATAAATGAGTTTACCAAGTCTGTCAGTACGAGTCTAGGTACAAGCTACAAACACACTCTCAGTGAGTAGGAGCAAACGTTGTTTATTGTCCGTTGCAATTGGGGCAAAGCCCCATGGTAGACACCAGAGACAAATAATACGTGCGCATTGGGTGGGTTCCAAGAAGCAAGATAATGCGACCAAAGGCCGCAAGGCTAAATGTCGATATTCCTCTCCGTGCAGAAGTGCCCAAGAGTTTGGGCAGGAGCTGCTGAAGCAACGTTTCTTGGACCCAGTCAGACAACATGCCCCGTGGCCAAATGCGTCTGTCCCACAATCCGTGGTGTTACTATCGTAGCCTCCAGCACAGAACGGTGAAGTGTCGCTCCAGTAACAGTTTCCGTCAACAGCGAGCTAATTGGCATCGCTATGTTTGTCGAGAGCTGCCGTAGCTGCTTAGAGGAGCACCACAAACGCCAAGGAAAAAATTTCATCTCATTTGTGTTGCAAAATAATTGAGTCGAAAGTTTTATAACAGCTACGGGAGGAAATGATAACCCGCCACATGACGATGAGCAAAGGATTTTGCTGTTGCTTGCAAGAATGTTGTGATACTCTTCCCGTGAGGAAAAAAACTGTTGATAAACTCGAATCAGTCGAGAGTTGGAAGACGAGGAAAATCTTACACACATATGATGGAGCTCGAATGGTCGCAAAATCGAATACAAAGCTGTCCTTTGTATAATGGACCAGGCTATATCCGAATTCTCGATGTACAACGTGTAGAGAAAGTCCCACAGTGCGTGGGCCACAAACACCATTCTGAAGGTCAACAGTAGCTCAGATCGCTCGCTGAAATGTTGTCAGTGCATCACCATAATAATAATGAATAATAGGAAATTAAAATTGTTGCTTAGTTGCTTGACGTTGAGCGAAAAGCAGTAATTTCAAGCAAGCCACGCAGTGGGCACCCGAATAGGTATGAAACAGTTTGCGTGGTTGCAACATGGCTGGCTTCGTTCTTAGTGCAGTGGGACAACTAGCAGCACGGAGCACCTACAGCTCTATTTAGCTTGCATATGAGAACGATGCATACTCGTTGATAAGGAGGTATGGCTGATTCTAGGAGAACAAAAACTCGACTTCTGGGTCTATATTACATTAGGGACTCGCTGATGAAAGAGTGGCCGTTTTTATCCTCTGGGTAGGGGTCGAATGTCTTCTGCAAGGTTTGTGCTGCTTCGTAGCCTTGATGGAAGACCGGTTGGATGGGTACCTCGCAGGGGAGAATAGGAGAGTGGTGACTTTTGAAAGTCGGCAGTATCATCAGCTCGGATCGCTGGCTAAAATGTTGTCACTGGATGACTTGTATTGTATTCCACATGGTCAGTAGTTGTGCTGAAGTACCACCCATTTTCTTCTTTGGAAACCTGAGAGCTTGAGTCGCCCAGTAAACAAGGTAGACAACTTTTATGAGACGATTTAGGATTTGAGATTTGGGCGCGCGACTGGGAGAAGTTGCCAAAACTGTTGCAAATTTAGCAAACAGGTCCTTGTACATCCAGAAATTGTGAGAACTTGTGGTCCAATCGAGAAATGACGAAGGCTGGGACAGAGATGCCTCGGAGTCACTGCAGTTTGTGAATGCCGCAGTACTTGCGCGTGTCAGGTAATTCTTACTACAAATCGATTAATTGAACAGCCAAATGGTTCAAGGAAAATCAGGACGTGATGCCCACCCTTCTCGTGTCTTAGGTCGGGACCACAACATCCCATTCGCTGAGTAGAGGTAGTAGAGCTGTGTGGTTTAGTAGTTTGTTCAAGTTAAAACCGTCACGGTCACACTACTAGTCACAGCGACGTCCAGACTTCAAATCTATGATCATATTATCACAACAGAGAATAAATGACTGTCTTCCCTGGACCGACGTTCGCTTACTCCATCGGGCATAATTGCGAATTCAAAACAATTGGCAACACATGCATGATTGGTGTCCACATTAGTTAGTGGTGTATGACCGTAGTACCTATCACTACATCGAAGTTTGTTCTCGCTAACACTTCTCGAAAATGTCCTCCACTGAAAGCCAATTAGAACAAAGTTTAGGAAGACTTCAGGTGAGTCACTTCTTCAACTCATATCAATTTGGCGCGTACTTCCACTCATTTTGTTCAAAGATCCCAGAGTCCGGCTCGCAGGAAACGTCTACCACAGTCCAGGCGCAATGGGTGCCCTCTAAATACAGCTCAGACGTATCTCAGTACGTTCTCGTGAGACCTCCCCGGGCTCCTTGCGGCAATCGTTGGCTGTTTGGGTTTCCTATAGTCAAGAGGGAACTTTGGAACATAGCGACCATTGCTTTCAAACATATCCAGCCAGACAAAACTTTACCAGACAACAATGCCTTCATCGCCATGAATTCCCTTACATTTCTCGAGGTATATCTTGGTCTTCGCGTTTGTACTATGGCACGTGGAAAGGTGGTCGGAGACTCGGAGAATATTCCAGCGGAGTGTATGTCGTCGCCGGAAAAGGTGCTGTTGTTAGTATTGTGGAGGGATACAGAACCTGAGGCGACGTGTCCAACGCCAAGTCAAGTGCATTCCCTGGAGGTGAAGCTTAAGCGCTCACCAGGATGGTGGGTGGAAGTCCCAGTGCGTATGCGTGTTCATTTCGGGAGCCGTTCAGTTGACATACTTGCATTTTTAGCAATTTTGATGAAAAAAAACAATTCCGCCATCGTTCCATGACTGGCTGTGTCGCCTAAGTACCCCATTTCTACCAATTCATCTATTTTCTGCGGTAGAACCAATCACTTCATCGCGTCAACGGCCATCGAGCCAAATGCCTTTTCGGTAAGAAATGCTGAGTATCTTCCTAATAAGGGTTCCTTCTACCCCTGGTCTGTTCCTGTACCAAGATGCGCCACTGGGTAAACAGATTTGATTGCTTATCACATAATACTTAGCACACATGAATTGCCAGTGTCCACATCAGTGGCGTGGTATGCCAAAGTACTACATATTACAGTGGCCAAATTTGTTCATTTATTGAACACCTCTTTGACGAAAATGACCTCTACTGCAAGCCAACTGGAACGAAGTCTAAGAATGCTTCAGGTGTGTAACTTCTTCATCTACAATCAATTTGACGTGTACTGTTACTCATTTTGCCCAAAGATCTCAGAGTCTAACTCACAAGAAACATCTACCGCGGTACAATGGGTGCCCTCTAAATACTACAGCTCAGACTCATCTCAGTGCGTTCTCGTAAAGCCTCCCCGGGCTGCGTGCGGCAACCGTCAGCTGTTTGGTTTTCCTCTTATCAAGAGCGAACTTTGGGACATGGGGACCTTTACTTTCAAGAAAATTTGGCCAGACAGAACTTTACCAGACGACCATTTCTTCATCGTCATGAATTCCCTCACCCTCCTTAGGGCATATCTCGGTCTTCGCGTTTGTACTATGGCGTTCGGAAAGGTGGATGAAGGCTTAGAGAATATCCCATCGGAGTGCGTATCGTTGGGAGAGGTGCTATTGTTGATATTGTGGAGGGATACAGAACCCGAGGTATCCTGTCGAACGCTAAGTCAAGTGCATTTTGTGGAGGCGAAGCTTAAGCGCTCACCGAGATGGTGGTGGAAGTCCCAGTGCGTATGCATACTCATTTCGAGAGCCGCTCAGCTGACCCTCTTTATTTTTTAGCATCTTTAATGAACAGTGTGCCATCATTCCATGGCTGACTATATTACCTACGCCACTTGTACCAACCTCATTCATTTTTTGCGGTAGAACTTATAACTCTTGCACGTCATCGATCATCTGTGATACATACATATGATACATTCAACATGAGACTGGACAATATATCGATATTGCGGACGAACACGGAGGGACTGTAAGGCTATTTTTATATGTGATAACTTGTTTTCGTCGGCTCGAAGTCTCTGGTATTTCATTAAAGGATAACTTCAAGTTATGAGTCTTATGACCGCCTCAAAGAACATCTTTCTATACTTGACCACTTGTCGCTTTCACTTGCGTCGACCAAGGCAAAACAGCAGCGGGAGATAGATAGTATGTCAGCAGATTAAAGCCATTGTATGGAACGTCCATCTGGACAGCAGCCTGTCGCGTTGTCGTCCACGGCAGCAAATGACCCACCGTCCGAGTCGTCTGACCTGGATTCTCTTCCAGACGTACACTGGTGCAAGGCGTTCTTCTGCTACTACTCGTGCTGGTCTCATGGAAGGCTGAGGATGCCTCCACGATGGCGCTTGGAGCGGGTTTACCCACTCCAGCAGGCTGGTACGACGAGTGACAGTGGTGGAGGAACTCATGGTCGCAGTTAGCTCCATGATCTACAAAACTCACCCTGCAACACATTCCAATGGATAAGCTGACAAATATCTGTTGCGCCATCAGAGAAACCCTTTCTCCGACGCAAAATCGAGGCTACTCAGTCAAAATTACTATTACTAGTTAACTCTAAGTCAAAGTCATGGTGTTGTTCACGGTCGCAGTTTGCTCATTGGGCACCAATAGTGTTTTCGCTGAATTTTCTGCAACTGATATGATTTCATACCTCTGTACGACTGAGGCATATACATTTCGGATGGCGTACTTTCAAAATGGTTGAGATATAACAACCATTCCTTCATCGAATCCTGCTGCATGCGGCGACTACATGACCACAAGATCTATATTTGCAATATTCTACCTAACATCGTTGTACACCGCATGCTTATATTTCCACGTCCATCCCACTTCGCGATAATACCACATCCCTCCTGGCCGCGTTATCAAGATGTCCTAAATCCAAATATCACTATTATGATTGCGCAGGTCATCTAAAATCCCTTCAAAGGCTCTGAGGGACTCTCCCCTAGCGTCCAGGAGCTCGAATTCATACAAGGTGTTAGGACGGCCATCCTTTGCTTTGGGGAGAAAGTCGGGGATATCTAACGAGGGAACAAGACGCTGGACTTCAGCCCAAGTTGGATCACGCCTCTCTGACATTGTCCGAGGAAGTAGATCGCCACGGTTCACGGTACCATAGACCCAATGACGACCAGCGGCTATGATGACTCCCAAATATTTTAGAGTACGATCAGCCTCGAATGCATGAAGAACCTGCTCTTGTACTTGATCCTCCCAGATAGATTCCCATTCGAATATCATACCGGCCTGTGGCTCCGGTTTGATTTCAACTATCATGATAACCCGGCGGATTACACGACCAGTAACGACTGGGAAGGACTGTTGTGCATGTTCGAGGATTTGCACAAAGTCCGGAATTCTGAAAGATGCATGTGACAAGGTAGTGATCGGTCTGGGCGGAGTTATTGGGGGAATACCATCTGATGGATATGGATATGACGACGACGAAGATTGAGGCAGCGGACGGGCGCCGACAGGAATGTTGGAAACATTGCCAGCACGACGAGCCTGCATACGAGTGACGCGCTGCGTGGTGGGACTGTCAGGGGATGGTACATGATGACGAGGGTCTGGGTAGAAAGGGCTAGGTGTCAAGGGAGGTAGTGGTCCTCCGAAAATTGCCTGTGATTGAGGACTGAAATCTGGGGTAGGGTTGTGGGGCACCGGGGGTGGTCCCGGAAGGGGGCTCCCTGGAGTCATCAAACGCCGATCTGGAGAAGGGCTACCCATGAATATGTCAGACTCTGACCAACCGGAGTCACTACTCGGCGGCGAGCGGCCGGAATCATGGGATGCAACGAGGGAATATTGTGGGACGCAGGTGCATGCACTTTTTGATCCGTCCACCTCGAAAAATATATAATTTTGGAGGACTTTAGCCCACACCCCATACCAGGAGCATTCCCTTGAGTCTCCTTGTGCAGCCTGGATAGACAAGGCGAGGGAAAGATCATGCTTATTCCGGACGATCATCGAATGGGAGCTCGGTGGAGTCTCTTGTGTGGCCCCTGCTCCCGCCACCAGTCGCTGATATTGTAGTGGTGAGCAGTAGTACGGACGACTTTATATTCACTTACCGGCAACGACGTAGAAGTGGACGTCCAGGCACTCTGGGTTGGTTGACGCAGTGTACTCCGAGTATTTGGATTCCCAAATGTCTTGGAATAGGTAGGTCGGTGAAGTGAAGATGGTTCCAAAGCCTGATCTCGAGGTTGACGAAATGACATAACGGGGTCTTGGGGAGCCGCTAGAACTGCGGTTTATGGACTGCACTTGTAACTTTATACCTACAACAGATTGTTCAGACATTTCAAGGCCACATCGATCCTTGAACACTGGTGGAGATAAGTAGTCACAGGTTGCAGTAAACCGTTATCGATTAGTTTTCGACACCGCCCAACAATGCCCACTCACCACGATTCTTACTCCATCGAGCACAAAGCCTTGTTCTTTTCGTTCGGTTTCCAGTTGTGACGCTAGAGTGATGTTCGATTTTCGATGGCCCATGACTACCATCATGCATCACTGATAGGTCTCGGCGTCGCCCATCCTCGCTGCCTACAGTGATTTCTGCACCGTCAAGCATAATCGCAACCTTGTCCGTTTTGCTCTGGGCCTGGAACCAGCGGTGAATTGTGGCAACTGACAGTCAAACCTACATCAATAACACCGTACATCAACTTCAACGCCACCCATAAGCCACCTCGCCCACTGTGATCTTCCTGATGAGTAAGTCAGTTACGTTCGTATGACCTTTCTTAGTATGGTTCCCCTTGCCACGAGCAACGGACATTCTGCAAAATCGAAAATCTCTGATATCAATCGGCCACATCTTGTGAGAAGTCAGATAAGCTATCCGAAGTTACAGTTCCTTGACTTCCGGAGTCACACTAGTAACTTGCGCCCCTAACTCGAAATCACCGTGCTGTAAACAGACAATGAACAACGACTGTAAAAAAAAAAAACACCGTGCTTCGCAGAGTGCAGAGAGGAAAGAAGACAAAATAGGTATTGTCTGTGATTGTCGATGTCGCTAGGATGAATGAAATTCAAATAGCCGAGGGATGATCGTGAACTCACTACCAATCATTATGATGGCACGGAAAGGATGAAAGCTATAGGTGGAACATCATAATCATCTGGGAATGCCCAGTCACGACAGCGGCTGCGCTGCTTGAAATGATGTGCATAGACCATACGAATGCAATACTACCAGTGGAGACTTCTGTGTAGCATTGGCCCAGCGTCCAGACTCCACACAGCCGCATTCAAGTCCGCGATTCTTACTCCATCGAGCGTTGGTCACCTCGAAACAATGGATGCGACATGATTATGTAATTGATTGTCCAGTCACATCAGTGGCGTGGGCGTGTGCTAAAGTATTACATATTGGCCAAGTTCGTTTTGTTCAATGTTCGTTGACAAAACACTCGAAAATGCCCTCTACTGCAAGCCAACTCGAGCGAAGCCTTAGAAGACTTCAGGTGAGTACCTCGTTAAATTTCATCTGTTGTACGCGTACTGCTACTCATTTTGTTCAAAGATCTCGGAGTCTGACTCACAAGAAACGGAAACGTCTACCGCGGTGCAATGGGTGCCCTCTAAATACAGCTCAGACGTATCTCAGTACGTTCTCGTAAGGCCCCCCCGAGCCTCATGCGGCAATCGTCAGTTGTTTGGGTTTCCTATTGTCAAGAAGGAACTTTGGAACATGGGAACCATTGCTTTCCACCATGTTCGGCCAGGCAAAACTTTACCAGATAACCCCGGCTTCCTCGTCATGAATTCCCTTACATTTGTCAAGGTTTATCTAGGTCTTGACATTTGCACTTTGGCACATGGAAAGGTGGTTGGAGATTCGAAGAGTATCCCATCGGAGTGTATGACATCGGGAAATGTGCTGTTGTTAGTGTTGTGGAGGGATACGGAACGTGAGGCTGCCTGTCCAACGCAAAATCAAGTGCATTCCCTGGAGATGAAGCTTAAGCGCTCACCGGGGTGGTGGGTGGAAGTCCCGGTGCGTATGCGTGTTCATTTCGAGAGCCATTCAGTTGACATCCTTGCATTTTTAGCAATTTTGATGGAAAAAAAATTCCACCATCGTTCCATGACTGGCTGTGATACCCTACCCATTTGTACCAATTCATTCATTATCTGCGATAGAACCAATCACTCTTGTACTTTTTCTGTGATCCACACACTCAACGTGAGACAGAACGATACATTCTAGAGGAATGCGGAGAGAATGCAAGACTATTTTCCCATCGATGCCAGCGCCACAACGCAGCACAGTGCCAAATAGCACGAGTCACTCAATCATCTTATCAGCGGATACTTATAAGCTACTGGACTCGCAGGACAAAATCTTCATCTTGTTGTATGTCATTCGTCTCTTTGTCGCTCCTAGCATTTGCCACCCTGATCGATGATTAGTAGCTCCAAGGAGTGGATGAGTTAACTGGCTCAGAGAACTAGTAGGTACCTTCTCATGACTCGCCAGTGTAAAGTGAAATGATCCTTTATATCTGAGGTCCCTGTTTCTTTCGCTGAAAAAAAACTAGAGCCAAGAGGGTGTGGCTATCGATAGGGGGCCTTGACGTGGCAGTGCTGGGCTATGATGTGACGATGGTCAACTCATCTGGGAATGCCTAGTCACGACAGCGACAGCGGCTGCGCTGCTTGAAATGATGTGCATTATAGTCATACGAACATGAATGCAGAGCATAAGAATGCAATACTACCAGTGGACTTCTGTGTAGCATTGGCCCAGCATCCAGACTCCACTGGCGTCACAGCCGTATCCAAGTCCGTGATTCTTACTCCATCGAGCAAACAATGGGTGTCCAGTCACATTGGTGGCGTATGCCAAAATATTATGATATTGGCCAAGTTCGTTTTGTTCGTTGACAAAACACTTGAGATGAAGCTTAAGCGCCCACCAGGATGGTGGGTGGAAGTCCCAGTGCGTATGCATATTATAATACGTGCGCATTAGGTGAGTTCCAAGACGCAAGATAATACGACCAAAGGCCGCAAGGCTAAATGTCGATATTCATCTCCATGCAGAAGTGCCCAAGAGTTGAGGCAGGAGTTGCTGAAGCAACGTTTCTTGGACCCAGTCAGACAACATGCCCCATCGCCAAAAGCGTCTGTCCCATAATCCGTGGTGTTACTATCGTAGCCTCCAGCACAGAACGGCGAAGTGTCGCTCCAGTAATAGTTTCCATCAACAGCGAGCTGGTTGGCATCGCTATGTTTGTCGAGAGCTGCCGTAGCTGCTGAGGAGCACCACAGACGCCAAGGAAAAGATTTCATCTCATTTATGTTGCAAAATAATCGAGTCGAAATTTTCATAACAGCCACAGGAGGAAAGGTTAACCCGCCACATGACAAAGGATTTTGCTGTTGCTTGTAAGAAGAACGTCGTGATACTCTTCCCGTGAGGAAAAAAACTCGAATCAGTCGAGAGTTGGAAGACGAGAAAAATCGTACACACATACGAAGGAGCTCGAATGGTCGCAAGATCGAATACAAAGCTAACCTTTGTATGATGGACCAGGCTATATAATAACGCCGCCGAATTCTCGACGTGCAACGTGTAGAGAAAGTCCCAGTGTTGAAAGTCGACAGTAGCTCGGATCGTTCGCTGAAATGTTGTCATTGTATCACCATAATAATAATGAATAGGAAATTAAAATTGTTGCTTAGTTGCTTGACGTTGAGCGAAAAGCAGTAATTTCAAGCAAGCCACGCAGTGGGCACCCGAATAGGTATGAAACAGTTTGCGTGGTTGCAACATGGCTGGCTTCATTCTTAGTGCAGTAGGACAACTAGCAGCACGGAGTACCTACAGCCATATTCAGCTTGCATATGAGAACGATGCATACTCATTGATAAGGAGGTATGGCTGATTCTGGGAGAACAAAAGCTCGACTTCTGGATCTATATTACATTAGAGACTCGCCGATGAAAGAGTGGCCGTTTTTATCCTCTGGGTAGGGATCGAATGTCTTCTGCAAGGTTTGTGCTGCTTCGTAACATTGATAGAAGACCGGTTGAATGGGTACCTCGCAGGGGAGAATAGGAGAGTGGTGGCATTTGAAAGTCGGCAGTATCAGCTCGGATCGCTGGCTGGAATGTTGTCGCTAGATGACTTGTATGTATTCCGCATGGTGAGCGGTTGTGCTGAAGTATCACCCATTTTCTTTTTTGGAAACCTGAGTTATTGAGAGCTTGAGTCGCCCAGTAAACGATAGAAGACAACTTTTACGAGACGATTTAGTAGTTGAACCCGTCACGGTCACACTAATACGAGTCACAGCGACGTCCAACTTGAAGACTCCAGATTGGATGATAATATTATCACAACAGAGAAGAAAAGACTGTTTTCCCTAGACCGGCGTTCGCTTACTCCATCGAGCATAGTTGCGAATTCAAAACAATCAACACATGCATGATTAGCGTCCACATCAGCTAGTGGCGTATGACTTACCTATTACTACATTGAAGTTTGTTCTCGCTAACACTTCTCGAAAATGTCCTCCACTGAAAGCCAATTAGAACAAAGTTTAGGAAGACTTCAGGTGAGTCACTTCTTCAACTCATATCAATTTGGCGCGTACTACCACTCATTTTATTCAAAGATATCAGAGTCTGACTCGCAAGAAACGTCCATCGCGGTCCAGGTGCAATGGGTGCCCTCTAAATACAGCTCAGACGTATCTCAGTACGTTCTAGTAAAGCCTCCGAGGGCTCCATGTGGCAATCGTTGGCTGTTTGGGTTTCCTATCGTCAAGAGGGAACTTTGGAACATGGGGACAATTGCTTTCAAGCAAATTTGGCCAGACAGAACTTTACCAGACAACAATACCTACATCGCCATGAATTCCCTTACATTTCTCCAGGTATATGTTGAACTTGACGTTTGTACTATGGCATATGGAAAGGTGGTTGGAGATTTGAAGAATATCCCATCGGAGTGTGTGACATCGGGAGAGGTGCTCGTGTTGGTATTGTGGAGGAATACGGAACGTGAGGCTGCCTGTCCAACGCAAAGTCAAGTGCATTCCCTGGAGATGAAGCTTAAGCGCCCACCAGGATGGTGGGTGGAAGTCCCAGTGCGTACGCTTATTTATTTCGAGAGCTGTTGAGCTGATATCCTTGCATTTTTAGCAGTTTTGATTCATTTTTCCATGGCTGGTTGTGTCGCCTAAGTACCTCGTTTGTACCAATTCATTTATTTTCTGCGATGGAACCAATCACTCCATCGCATCAACGGCCATCGAGCCAAATGCCTTTTCGATAAGAAATCTTGTGTGTGTTCGCTGAGTTGCCTTGTTTTCTAGAAACATAAGGGTTCCTTCTACCTGTTCCTGAACCAAGATGCGCCACCGGGTAAACAGCTTTGGTTGCTTATCACATATTATTTACAGGACCACTTTTATGTTCCTTGAGGCTCATCGACGCGTTCGGGCTTTTCTCGGTGCACTGACGTGCTGTTCCGACAGGTCGAACCCTCGAGGAGACGGTTGCAGTCAGCAATATAATATAGCACACGGCAACCGTGCTACGCCTGGAGTAATAGAAAAATCAATGGATCATCAGATGACGATCTTACTCATTATGCCAAGTCACAATGGACCAGGTGGGCGCCCACAAGATGATCGAAGAGTTGAGGTTTAGGTGAGCAACTCGGAGATGTATTATGTGGCAAAGTGGCAAAGTTACTACCGTCAGTTTGTTGATCAGAAATTGTGAGGGTTCGTGAAAGAACTCCGATAAATAGATGACAAAGTAAGGCGGACGACGAAATTGAGTTACGGTACTCTTCAAGTTCGGCTGCAAAACACTTGCTACAGATGGAAATTAGTAATATGAGGCCCATGTCGCTGCTTGTCCAATGTACTTACTCGAGGTTAGGACGGGACACCACCCTCGGAACGTCCGCTGGGTAGAAGCATTAGTATGTATAACATCGTTTGTTTACTCTGTTCCATTTCTTATCCCCATCGAAGCAAGTTGAACCTGTCACGAGCCCGTCCAAATTCCGCATCAGTGGCGTATTCTATAGTTCGGTCAAGTTTATTTTATTCGCTGAACAATGCAGAGCTCGAAAATGACCTCTACTACAAGCCAGCTGGAACAAAGTCTAAGGGGACTTCAGGTGAGTGACTTCTTCATCTTTAATTTATTTGGCGCGTACGGCCACTCATTTTGTCCAAAGATATCAAAATCCGACTCACAAGAAACGTCTACTGTAGTGCAATGGGTGCCCTCTAAATACAGCTCAGACGTATCTCAGTACGTTCTCGTAAAGCCTCCCCGGGCTCCATGCGGCAATCGTTGGCTGTTTGGGTTTCCTATTGTCAGGAAGGAACTTTGGAACATGGGGACCATTGCTTTCCACCATGTTTGGCCAGGCGAAACTTTGCCAGACAACAATGCCTACATCGCCATGAATTCCCTTACATTTCTCCAGGTATATCTTGATCTTCGCCTTTGCACTTTGGCAGGTGGAAAGGTAGTCGGAGATTTGAAGAATATCCCATCAGAGTGTGTGACATCGGGAGAGGTGCTCTTGTTAGTATTGTGGAGGAATACGGAACGTGAGGCTACCTGTCCAACGCAAGATCAAGTGTATTCCCTGGAGATGAAGCTTGAGCGCCCACCAGGATGGTGGGTGGAAGTCCCAGTGCGTATGCATAATTATTTCGAGGGCCGCTGAGCTGACATCCTTGCATTTTTAGCTATTTTGATGATTATTCCGCCATCGTTCCAGGACTCATTTGTACTGACTCATCTATTTTCTGCGGTAGAACCAATCACACCATCACGACAATCCCTATTGAGCCAAATACCTTTCTGATAAGAAATGTTGTGTCTTCGTTGAGTTTCCTTGCTTTCTAGAGGCAAGTCAGGATCCCTTTTACCTCTAGTCTGTTCAACGTGACTGTGATCTACCGAGTTAAGATACGCTACCGGGTAAACGAATTCGACTGACTTGGATTGTTTATCACATTGTTTACAGGACCTGACGTTGCTTGGTGCTCGTCGATGCGTTCATCGGTGAAGGAAATATTGAAGCAGGCTGAAGAGCTCCCTTTCCCAATGAATTAGCACTTTCATGGAAAGATAATCTCCTCCCAAGTTACTGGTAGTGCCACTTATGATGCGTACCTGTCAGCTGCGGATGTTCGCCTTATTTTAAATTTAAGGTTGAGGCTCTCAACTACATAATCGACTGCTATTGAGTTACGGTACTCTAAGAACAAACACTTGCTAGTCACTGTGGGAAGTAAAAACGCTGAAAATCAGTGTATAGAATACTGAAAGTCAGCGTCCAAAACACTGACTTTCAGAGTTTCTGTATTATGACCACAGTCCATGCTCGAACAAGAAGATAGGTTGCGCGAGAATTCAGTACCTGGAACCCTGAAAGTGACATTTTTCAGTGTCGAAGACACTGAGATTGGATTGACGGCACACTGAATAGCACTGAGTAAAACACTGACATTGTGATGTTCGTGGTACTGAAAATAACGACTCGAGACGCTGAAAATCATGCAAGATCTCACTGTAAATTCACCATTTGTGACGCTGAATCTTCATGAGTATCATTACAATATACACTGGATGAGTGCGAGAACAAGACATATACATTATGAATAAAAATTGACATAACAATAACAAGTCTGTGCGTGAAATTCCGAAAGGCGTGCGAGGAGTCCAAGTTGACAGTGTTCGTGAGGTGAGTCCAACAATCGAGTCCACAACGAAGAGTCCAGTGCGAGATGAAGTCAGGTGTGCTTGAAAAAAGAGGTTAGTGGTGCCGGGTGCGTTTTCTTTTGAAGGTGGGACCCTGTAGTAGAATCGACCGGCAAGGTGAGCATACTCAGCCAGCATTGGAAGAAATACGCACTGGAATAGGCCCTTCCTCAATGGGCATGACCGCTGCCTTGGTTTTGCTGCGTGTCCGTTTTCGAGCAGGGGACTGAGACATGAGTGGAGATGACAGGGTAATCAAATATACATGAGCATAAAAGCACTCACTGGCGGTAGTGGAGTCAGTTGAGAGAGTGCACTGTCTGGTGGACGGGAGGCCGTAGTTGAGCAGTCAGAAGAGGACTGCATGGTATTGGGGTGTTGAGATGGTCCAGGTTGTGGAAGTGTAGCCTGTTCATTGTGATGGATAGACGGTCAGTGAATGTCTGAAAATACAAATGAAAGCACCTCTATGAGCTGAAGTGTTGCCCGGCGCAACCTTGGCGGACCACCTTTACTAGACTGGTTGTCATGAATAGCGACTCTGGTGTTGGACTTTGAGCGCTGGATGTTGGTCCTGTAGATCTGGTCTAGTTCCTCGTCCGAGTCAAGAGCAGGATGCAAGTCGATTCCAGCTGATCTACTATCCAGCCGAATGGTGTGAGCTTCTGCGATGGTGATGCCGAACCTGTGTGCAATTGCACTGGTAGCGACGTATGGGACAAGAATAAAGTCTGTGAACTTTTTGACGTCGAGTGGGCGAATGGCGTTGAGTGGGAGAGTTGATGTCCGAAACATTCCTTCGAGCGCATGAGCAATGATGTGCTCTCCTTTTGGACCATAGCTGCAAGAATGAAAGTTATCAGCAATTGTCAAAAGCCAAGTACGACACTCACAAGCCGGCTGTTGAAAAAATGTAGATTGAAGAAGAGACACCTTTCCTGTCCCTTGTGAACGCATGAAGACACGCCTCCTCGGTATTTTCTTTGTAATACTGGGAAAGACAGTCGAGAAATGACTTCCAGACGATATGTTCAGCTCGAACACCTCGATCTGAAATGAGTGCAGCGATGTCAGCTTCCAATGACCATGTAAAATCATTTAGTGCAACAAAATCAGGTGATACCGGCCAACCACGCAGAGTGATATCTCGACGTCGCTGCGCCAGACGGTTCTCAGATTTGATGGCAGAACAAATGTAGAGCGTAGTACGAAGGACGTTGCGAGTGTCATCACCATCCCGCTGAATGAAGGCAGCGCGGTCATGGAACAACTTGACAAGCTCGGCTGACAGGACAGTAGGGACATGGTCTTCACAATCGTCATCTGGGCAGAACTTTGGGATGTCTTTGCTGTGCTGGGATCCAGAATGTGGTGCTGGTGTGTCTTCATGGACATCACGACGTGCTGGCTCGGATGAGGTCTTTGCTTTGGGTTTGATAGGCCGGGGGCGTGGCTAGGGGCAGGTTACATACTATTTGAGATTAAAAAATGCACGAACGGGCATACCTTTGGAGGAATCTTCGACACTGTCTTCGATGATGATGTCGAAGGAGCCTGGACTTGTGGCTGACCAACACCAGATCATGGAGGTAAGTTACACATGGGTTTGTCGAGGTCACTTACTGGTGTTGTTGCCATGGCAGTCTCACCGCTACTACGAGGCTGTGGAGCCATGGTCTTGGCCTTCTTACTGGTTCTTGTGACTTTGGATGTACCGCTAATACGAGTCTTGGCTGCTGTCGTGGGCCTTTTGTTTACCTGAGGGTCAGTGCGAGGTACTTGGAGTGCCTCCTTTGCCCGTTTGGCTTCTGAAGGGCCGTAAGTGCAGCCAAGCAACATAATATGAGTGCAGCTCACTCAAAAAATCCTCGACTCGTTTCTTGAAGAGCTCTGCAATATCAGCAGGCAGACCTCCCTCACTTCCTGGCCCAATCTCCTCGGAGTCCAATTCTTCATCTGATCCAGGGTCCGTCTCGCTACTATCATCTGAGTCAGAGTGAGCTGCAGGAGCTGGCAACTTCGCACGGCCGGTGGATGTATGCGTCCGAGTCGACTTGTTATGGCTTGAGAGTGTGATCTATATAAAATGAACAGTCAATGGTCAAATGACAGGCCATTGTTACATACCTTGTTTGAGCTGGGCGCGTCATAACCCATCCTTCTCCTATAGTTGGCGTGATTTCGTAAGAATTGTTGCAAAAAATCTTTGACGGGCCAGCCATCCTTAAAGTGTGTGAGGTATGGGATTTCGAGCATGGCCTATTAGTATCATTAGCGCATATATGCATGTAGGAGGACAAAAAATATGTACCAATGTGATTATGGTGCCTAGTAGCGTTGGCGGCTGGTATCTAATGGTGGTCTCGAGGCGTAGACCATTGTCCTTGGCGATTTCGATGATCTTGTACTTCAGAATGTCTGTGAGAATCCACACAGATAGAAAAAAAATGCTTACTCGAATTTTCTTATACACGGTATCCCTATCATCCAGATTCATAGCGTGCTGTAAATTGAAATGTCGTCCGGCAGTGCCATCAGGACGCATAATTGCACCCTTCTTCTGACACGCCTTGAGTTTCTTGCGGGCCTCTTTCTCACCTAGATTTTTCGCAGTTAGGACATTTGACTAGTGCTAACATAGGACTTACGCATCACATGTTGTACCTCCCGCTCATTGGCATCAACTTGCCTCTGTAGTGCTCGGAATTTCTTCTTGGTTCCTAGAGAAGGCTTGTTAATAGTCCGTGTGCGAGGCATGGTTAGTGGTAAGTGGTAGGGGTTATTTACGTGTTGTTTGCATCAACCGAAGCCAATGTTTGGTTGTGTTAATGGTCACGTGATCATTACAACCGAAATTTTCACCAAGACTGGTTGAATTCTAAGTATGTACACACGTACGAATACGACTTGTTCAGCTCCAAACTGGAGGCGATACATACAGTGCGGCTTGGAAGCTGGCACGGACGCCAATGGTTCGGGTGTAGCAAGTTGTACTAGTACTGTGAGATGTACAAGTTCTCCGACTTGCCCCCCCAAACTCGCTTTGCGCAGGTGCGAACTCCTAACCCTAACCCTAAGCTTGCTCAATGGCTGCAGCCCGTGGAAGGGAGTTCCTCCTCACCCTCCTCAGTGAACTCTCCTTACTCGTCTTACAAGAGTTCGGTTGCCAAATCCGCCTATTCATTCATGGTGGTGCAGTGACCCTATGCTGGCCCATGGGCTACAACACCTACAAACCCCAGCAAGCGCAGGAACTACGAAACCGTATCCACGACGCAGTGCACCATCTGCAAAAGTTATCTGACACTTTGCCAGAGGAGTCATCCCACATGGCGCTGAGCCAATCAGCCGCGCAGTCGCCTCCTGTGGCATCAACCACACGCTCTCCTGCTGCACTCTGCTCGTTGCATACGATGTCAAGCATCTTAGCCCCACACTCGTTTTCACAGCTGGCGTCGGCGTCCTCGTTGCATTCTCTTTACATGTCGTCCCACAGCGTTTCGCCTCCCGCATTTATGGGGGAGCGTACGCGCCAGTCATCGACGACCTCTGCACGACATCAGACCTTTTCACCCGTCCTCGCATCTTCACCCGCCCTCGCATCTTCACCCGCCCTCGCATTCTCACCCAACCTCACATTCTCACCCGCCCTCACATTCTCACCCGGCCTCCCAATCTCACCCGGCCTCCCAATCTCACCCGGCCTCGCATATTCCCCGGCCTCGCATTTGAATACATACGGTGAATCAGGTACGTTTTATGTTCATTTCATCACTCATCCCCTCAAACTCATTCTCCCGCATACAGGTCCTCCATATCCAACTCTTCTTCGATCTCTCCTTTGGCACACTCCAGCGCTCCTCCCTCACCGAGCCTCCAAGTGCTTCGACACCCTCTGCGCCTCCGGGCGTTTCATGCTGCCCTACGCCTTCGCCTTCGCCAATTCTAGCACCAGATGCTGCCCTATGCCTTCACCTTCGCCAATTCTAGC